AGGCAAATGATTGCCTATCTTCTGCTGATAGGCTTTCATTCAGTGATTCTGTTAGCCGACTTGGGTTCTACCAGAACATCAACATCGGCCGGAGCGCGTGTCATGGACCCTTAACAAATGAAAAGTGTCCACTTGCAGAAATTCAGAATTCCAGAGCCCTGACGCTTCGTTGACAAAAATCCATCTATGCCCAGTCGATAACTTTTGGACTATTAAACTAGTTCCTGCTCTCTAACTCTGAGTGAGGAGACGTTTCAATTTCTGACCGTGAGCTCCCACTATCGGTATCGTTCCTGTGAAATCTAACATCTGAAGAGCCATAACGGTATCAAGCAACGTGCCTCCTGCGCTCATAACGGACTGCGGCTCGGCTGCAGCATGCGTGCCCTAGGCATTCAGGTGACGACCGCGCCTGCATGGCGGCAATAACTAGATAGGTATGTGGCTACATTTTACGGGAGACCTTACAACAGTCCTTAAACCTCCTTCTTTCTCATCTGAGGTTGAGACCGGCAGCAGCAAAATTTAAATCAACTCCAATACTCGTTGTTAATTATAGAGCTGAGATTTTTTTCTGACTGTAAGCCAACGGAAGAATCGAATCAAATAAACACGTACCTCGATGATTATTGTGCGATCAAGTTTGTTCGTGTCGATCCGAATTTCCATAGGAGAGGAGAAATCGGCCTTTTCTGAACTCGTGTTCAGAAAGTAGCGCAGCTTTTCGAGTGCATCGCATGCGTTCGAAATCAACTCTCGGACGAACACCTAAGAGAGACAATAAATGTAGTAAGAGCTTATGAAAACCATATGGCCTGCCGCCGGTCTTAATGATTACCTCTTTCTCAGAGTAGAGCGATTTAGCAACGATGTCCAACAGCATACGCGTTTCAGCTTGAAATTCATATTTTTCGTTACCTTAAATATATTGAAAATGACAATTACCATTTAAATAATATTCAACACGGTAACATGATTTCTTGAAGCGGAAGATATCTTTTGGAAAGTTACCAACAGGTGAACATTGCTCAAAAATTTTACTAAGATATATGCTACTGTATATTCGATCTTTGATCAAATTCCATCCTTCTTCAGAGCTGCAGTATGCTTGCTTGTTAAGATCATCTCCTTCAGCTGCTGCATAAGCAGAGTGTCTTTGGTTCCTGATGTCCGTCATATTCGCAGTTTTTCAAGACTTCAGCTACAAAGGCATCGGTTACTGCTTCGCAGATAGAAAGTCGATCTGTCTTATTCTTTCCTGTTGTATGAGTATCTCCCGGTTGACATCTGCACCTTTTCAGTTCCTGCCAGAGAAGTTCATGAACTGGAGCAAATGTTGACATTCAACCAGTTTGTCTAACAGCACAACCTTCCTTTACTTAATCCTCACATCTGCTGATATCACCTGTGCAAGGAAGAGAATGGTACTTCCTCATATAGTCCTGTCACTTTGAAATCGAAAGCTGGGTTACACCCTGTGTTGATAATTAGACTGGATAATCAGCTATGATGTGGTTTAAGGAAAAATGCATCCACAGGAGGCACATCACGCGCTCGCCCATTCTACCATACTTTCCCTACTTTTTCGCAAGTCAACTTTCTAACGTTTTCCTGGCTAGTCATGCTGAAGCAAGAGGGATTAATTTATTGTTAAAAAAAATTAGCGGATAAGACAAAGGTTGTCTTTTCAGCGGATTCGAATCGGGCACATGGGCTTCAACGTCGACCTCACTGCCACTTCACCATCACTCCCCATGTAACCCTCAGTATATGTCTAAGCCAATGTTGCTGTATTCAGTCTAACCGTCGTTCTTACTACTTCATTAAAACTGTGTCCATGCAGGGCAACAACTATGGTTTGAGAGAGGCAAGAAGTTTGTGTGGAAAATCATTGCTGACACCAAATATTAGACAAACTCCTGAAAGCACCGGGTTTGGGGCCTCATATTTAGCCCTGGCTGGATGGTAAAATCGCTGGAAATGATGGAGCTGAGATACTTAAATTGAACAACCTCCTGAAACGTTTCATCACCTTGTTTCACTTGCAGAGTAGCTGCGTCGGATGGGTAGCTCAGTAATATTGAATTCTGGAGTTAAACTGCCGATTATCGCCGCTGTGTTACACACGTAAGTCGTGATACAGTCTGCTCACCGCATTATACACCAGGACATACCATCTGTGAACCTTTGTATGCATATCTTAAACTGTGTCATTCCTCTGGATTGATACCACAGTCACCATTGCCAACGTCAGCACTGCTTCGGTTTCTGAGAATGGTGTCGAATAGAAAATGCGAAATCATGTCTCCATGATGAACTCGGCAGTTAATAGGGGCCACTCATATAGGTCCCGACTTTGACAGTAGCGAGGTCAGAGTTACAATAATGTATATGCAGTGTTATGTTCATGAGAGGCGAGCTGACTCTGATCACTGATGGCGTTCTGTTTGTTAATGGCCTTGAACGACAATTTTAATTCTTTTGGTCAATGCATCGCTGACGTCTGCTCAAAGATCGCGATGATGAAGTTCATTCTGCGGACACTAACGTCTCCATTGGATACCATCCATCTTCTAACAAGAAAAGCTACGCTGGTTGCTCACATCTTAGATGACCGCTTCTACTTTCGGGTCGCGGAGGCACACGCATTAAAGAGTACTTCCAACGTTCCCGATCCTGAGCCAAAGTTTCACCATCGACAGAAGATAATTAGAGTCCGGAGCACACTCCTTCCATATATTCGCAAGAGGTCAATCTTGGCCATCCCCGGGGCTTTCTGCCGGTCGACTGGGAAAGAAATAGTTCCTTCGCCTTATTTTCTGGAGGTATTCGCAACACATGCCTAAACTATCGCTGCTGTGTCTTCTCAGTCTGTAGCAGAGTGGCTGTATACCAAGGCTTTCACTGATGTCTGTATTTTTGATCGTGTGGAGACGAGTAAGGCCAGCGACTCGTCTCAGATTCATTTTCAGCTGCTCATACCTGGGATCGATGTTTTTCAGGCAAGGTCCACGATTCATGACCGCAGATAAGAATGGGGATAAATATCGACTTGAACATCGAAAGCTCAGTTTTCAGATTCAGCTCTGCTATGGTCACAATGGTTCGGGCCAGTTTAAGCAGAACGCCACTGGCTACTCCAATCCGTCGCTCGATCTCTTCCTCAAATTTTCCATCACCAGTAAACACGACACCGAGGTATTTCAACTTCTCCACCTGCTCCACTACCCTTCCGTTAATCTAAAAAGAGCACTAGGCTTTTCGTTTTAGATGCATTCACACGCACGCCGGTTACGTCGCACTTGGCTGCGAACCTTTCTAAGGAGCACTGGAGATCAGTTTCAGAAGACGCTAATAAAACAA